GTAAGGAGATATACACAACAAAAAGTAAAATATTGTAAGTAAAACATTTAATTCGCTTATTTCACACTAGTACATTGAGCAGGCATCGGCAAACAGTAGAGCAGAACCAAACTAAATACTAAGTTGTAAGTAAATTACCTGCTTGGTAACATTTTTCTGAGCAGTATTAGTGAAAGTGATACAGTGAATTACATATCACTTTTTTGACATGTCTGATTTTCTAACACATTCATGGATCCGATAGTGGTTGATATATTTGTGTAGTAAAGTTGTCCTTAAAGGTTGTCCTTAAATGGAAGCTTGCATTTTGTTCATGGTTTATTGAACTTTTGATAACACAATATGTGTTATAATACACACATACATGAATTAATAGCATCACATTTTGTCTCTTTATTCATATTTCAGCACATACTTTTTTTAAATGTCAAAATCAATTTGGAAAAGAAAGCTCTTTGGCAAACATAAAGACAAATGTATATAATTATGTAGGAAAATGTGTACAATATATTATGTGAGTTCTACACTCTATATAATCCCATGACAAAGTATTTATTCAAATTACTGCAAAACTATGAGTGAGTGAGATATGTATACTTTTGAATTAACTGAGATTACAGAATGAGGCAAGTTAAAAATGCATCCTTAGCTGTAGACCTTATCTTTCCATTTGGTTAAATCTACATCATCAATAGAAGAGCAAGACACTCGTGCATTGAAGTCCATGTCCCACAGCCTGTTGAACCAATCTATGGTCAACCCACTCTTTTGATCGTATCTAAAATATGTGAAGAATAACATAGCAACTTAAATATTGAAGCTGTTGAATGTGAATTAAATTTAAAAGAAATGCTTTATTCTGCAAAATACCATGTCCAGGCAAGGTTTAACAATCATTAGCATGTCCTTAGACCCATTGACAAGTGTTTACTGGGTCCTAGGTATGGAATAACAATAACTTGCCAGTTATTTATTTATTTAATCTGTTCCTTTTAAACATAAACAGTTTTCTTAAAATGGAAAAGAAAAAACAAAACAATTTCACACAAATGGCAATTATTTTGTTTTGATATTAAAGTACATTCATGAAATGTGAACTTACACTTTCTGAGGAAAAGTTTTCCTGAAAGGTTGCATCATCACCCAAGGCTGCATGGTGACCACTTGATCCAGGTTGTTGCATAACACACGAGCTAAAGTGACCTTTTTCAGCTCTTTTAATTGACCTAGAAAAAGGAATGACTTTCTATTAGCTTGACTCTTGTAACTTTTAGTCTCATTCCATTTGTTTTATATATGATTCTTGGCATGACCTTTTAAATCTATAAGAAAAGTACCACACCTCAAAGAAGGTTAATTATTTGTCAAGGAAAAAATGATTGCATTCTTCAATTTTGTCAAAACATTTTCACACTATTTTCAAAGACTTTGTTGCTATCCATTTTGATCTCCAAAGGTTCAATATTGAAGAATGATATCATACAAACAAGGCCTACAGACATAATGTAAGTATGAGTGGAAATACCTGGGGTGAAATGGGTTGGGTTTTTGTTCTCGTACCAGAACCTGTCACCCTGCCTTAGCCTGCGGAATTGATCTCCAATGATACAAGCAAACACTGGTCCAATCAACCCCCCTTCTACATTGTCCTCAGACAACCCTCCAGTGAACAGGTCTATGTCATCAACATGGCTAAAATACATGTACATAATAAAAGACTGTAAATCAGGAAAATACTGTACCCTTTATGACTACCATTTAAAAGTAGTTCTATCTGACGCAGGATTTATCAATCATGTTAAGACATTTCATTATTTGAATGAATCTTGTTTTTATTTATTGCAGTTGTATGTACTGTAGGTAACTGATGGGAAATGTTTTTTATGATGTTAAGAATTTCGTGCATTTGTAAGCTTGTTGTTAAATTATAAAATGTATGTAGCCTTGTAAATGATTACAAAAAAAATCCCATCTAATATTAAGGTACATGTATTGTGATGGCAGTTTTACCCTTTCTATCCAGGTAACACAGTGTTTTGATACCTACTCGTATGTCTGCTCTAGCTTAGTGATAATTTCTCGTTTTTTGATGGTATTGGCTAAGTCATTGAATGTGGAAGCTCTCCCAAGACCGCAGAACTCTCTCCATATGTTGTAGCCTGAAGAAAAAATTATGGTTTCCAATGACAGACAATGTTCAGTGAAGCATCCACTTCTTGGACGTGATCTCTCATTTATTCTGCATTTCACGTCTTGCAATATATGTATACATATATAACCCAGTCTGGAGCTTTTTTGAAAGGTCATTTATCCAGAATTTTTTGTGATTAAGTGAAGAAAATAATAACATGACAATTTAAGAAAAAACTTCTCCAGTTATCTTACCAGGGATGCCATGTTCTCTACCCCGCTGTAAGTTCAGGGATAAAAGGTCTGTCCCAGGTCCGTCAGGGGGATTCTCACTGAAAAGATGTTCTGTCACCTCTTTGGTAACAAACCTGTCAAAATTTTGCATGCTTGATTCACACATTCCTCTCATTATACCATCAACACCATCGTATTTGCTGTCATAAACAGGGTCACTGCGGAAGAAGGTCTGTAAAGAAATGACAAACAGGTTTATGACAAGGTAAAGAAACCACTGACAACATTTGGGATGATTTTACTGCACTAATAGATATTTTGATGAAACAAATCATAATAAACAACTGCTGTGTAGTAAGTCTGTAAATTAATATTCCATTAAAAAAAGAAATTATTTGGATCAGTGGTGTGAATTGTTAAATCATACAATTAAAGCGCACACTCGCTATCATAACTTGTACCTTACTGAGGGGCATATCACCATCTGGTCTCTTTGTGAAGTCTGCCCTGGGTCTTGTTAATTTTGGCTGAATTAAGGTGTGGCCAAAGCGGAATGCAGCAGTGGCAAATGCATTAGAAATTCTTGGATCTACATTGGCATTATAACCTTGGCAAGAAGATTAGAATATGCAGTTAAAGATTAGGGTGGTATTAATATTTGTATATACTCATGATATGAAAGGTAGGTTCAAATGATTCTTTTATATTATCAATACTTTACAAATTGTTTAAATAGAAACAAAAGGCATTGTATCTAAAATACCATCACAGATGCTGTCAAACTGTTCAAAAATGTCATTATGTCCTATTTGCAATATCTAGTATAAATTCTCTATTTTTTCTTCAATTTCCATGACTGGATACATTATTTTGTATTGTGACAAAACAACATAATGAATGGAAATATCTGACCAACCTCTGTAATAACCAGACTTCTTAACTTCCAGGTCATACTGTGCGAGTTTTTGAGTGCCCATTACTACTGGCAAGAATTCATTGTAAGTTATATGTTGCATCATGGCACCAATGATCTTCCTGGTTTCTTGATACAGTTTCTCCCCTTGCCACTGGGGGTTGATCTCATGAAGTTTTTGTTCAATACGATTATGTTCTCTCATCCATAGTGTGTGCATTGAAGCCAAACCAGCATGCTCATTTGCACGCTCATCGCCTAAAATAAATACAAAAAGACTAGATACAAAAGTGCTATGTGTCATTTGCATAGTATTTGTATTGTGATGAGGGCACTGATTGTGCTTGGATGAGACTGCTCATTGTCATTGCCACAGTGCTGTTCATAAATAACAAATGGGTCTTGGATTAGACCTATACATGTACCAATGAGCCAAAAATTTAAAAATCTTGAGGTTGAATGGGATACCAAAGATGCCTCAGTTTTACAATAGCTGATTAGTCTATAAGGATATATAAAGACAGAAGTCCAATTCTGGTTTTACACTAGTCTTGGTCTGATCCATCTGCTAATTAACTTTATAGATCAATTTTTGATAATGTGGAAGCAACTTGTTAAACTTACCAGCCCTGAAGCAGCTGTGTCTTTTCTTATCTAGATCCATGCAGAATGTTCTGTCTGTGGTTTCAGGTAACAAGGGCTTGTATTTTCCACCATTAGGGTTGTGGGTGATTTTTAACCTGCCACGGGCTTTGAAAAACAGCAGAGAAGGGATTTTAATTCCAAAAATATATTATTAACAATGCATATTATGTTTGTATTACAACATCTGAGTTTTAAAAGTGACTATTAATCACAATGCATATTATGTTTTGTATTACAACATCTGAGTTTTAAAAGTGACTATTAATAACAATGCGTATTATGTTTTGTANAATGCTGTTCATAATTAACAAATGGGTCTTGGATTAGACCTATACATGTACCAATGAGCCAAAAATTTAAAAATCTTGAGGTTGAATGGGATACCAAAGATGCCTCAGTTTTACAATAGCTGATTAGTCTATAAGGATATATAAAGACAGAAGTCCAATTCTGGTTTTACACTAGTCTTGGTCTGATCCATCTGCTAATTAACTTTATAGATCAATTTTTGATAATGTGGTAGCAACCTGTTAAACTTACCAGCCCTGAAGCAGCTGTGTCTTTTCTTATCTAGATCCATGCAGAATGTTCTGTCTGTGGTTTCAGGTAACAAGGGCTTGTATTTTCCACCATTAGGGTTGTGGGTGATTTTTAACCTGCCACGGGCTTTGAAAAACAGCAGAGAAGGGATTTTAATTCCAAAAATATATTATTAACAATGCATATTATGTTTGTATTACAACATCTGAGTTTTAAAAGTGACTATTAATCACAATGCATATTATGTTTTGTATTACAACATCTGAGTTTTAAAAGTGACTATTAATAACAATGCGTATTATGTTTTGTATTACAACATCTGAGTTTTAAAAGTGACTGTACCATTACTTGACAGTGCAGTCTGTTGTTACTTACCTGGATCAGATATGTCCCTTAGGGTGTCTGCTTCTTCTTTAGTAGACCCATACACATTTGAGCCATCTATATAGGCTGTGATTTGATTCAGCTGTTGCCTGGGACCTATAACAGAAAATATCATTCAACATGAGAAAGTTCTTTATTTTTATGACAATATTTTGTATGTAAGTTGCCACAATTTGCACGGGAAATGAATATCCAAAAACTTTATAACATGCTCAAAAAGCATTTTACTGATCTTAAATCAGTTGCTTTTCCTGCAAAACCAAACCTTACCAACTCCGCAATCCAATCCTGGTACTTCCTCTGAACGTACAAACTCCAGGCATTTTTTATTAGAGAAGACTTTATCATTGGGTGGCACAGGAATAGGGAGACACTGAGGGATGGAAGTATCACATCCATCTGATCCACATTCTATGTTCACTGTCTCTGTGGCTCTGCCTTAAGAAAAATTAAGACAATGCAACTAAGGTAACTTACGCTGTTTTGTTTCAAGTGTCACATAAAAAGGTAAAGGTGACAATATACAGGCACAAATAACTCCAATAGAAAGGATGTACTGGTTTTTCTAAACCACTTTCTTTCATTCCCACTATGAAAAACAGTCAAAGTTTTGGGTCATTTTGCCTCTGCTATGAGCATCTGTGAAAAATGTCAAATAGCGATGGTTTCAACATCTTGTGTAGGTGAACTATTTTTGACATGCATGGCTGTGGCTTATATGAAGCAGATGAGGCACATTTCATGTCCTTACTGACCACATATTTGTTTCAGTTATAATTGTGGAAGGCCCAAGGGGTGTGTTTTGGCCATTTACTATCTCACCTCCTGTTTTGGACCTGTATTGCTTAATAGTCACAGAGCTATACTTATTTTTTACAAAATGTTAACAATCATTTTACTACATTTAGGAATATATAAATTTGTATAATATGTTATGAATAACAATCATTATTTTTGAACAGCAAGTTTTAAGTTTATAAAAAATATAGAAAAATGATATATATCAAAATGAAGGAGTTTTCAAAGACACCTTCAGAAAAAAACAGTCTTACCACTGGAATCCTTGGCCAGTTTGGATATAGCTGTTAGTGAGAGGTCATGGTCAAGTGTCTGACCAAACTGCATCACCATGAGTGTGTGGATTTGATTAGGGACATCTCTGTCTGGGTGAAGGTCCGCACTTACTTTTCTAGGACTGGGAAGCTTAAGACGACTTCTAGACAACCTGGGGCTACCCACACCTACAAATAACAAATTTTTTTCTTTGAAAGCTCTTGGTCATCATTTAAAACAGTTCATTTTCCTTTTAAAATATTAGTTTTTTTTTTTTTTTTTTTTTTTTTTTTTTTTTTTTTTTTTTTGTAACCTATTTTATGTAAAAATGGGCACTAAGTTATAAATGTTGCTAAAATGCCATTCAAACATCAAATTACTTTTAAGTCTTACTTTATCATACTAACAAAAATGCAAAGGTAAAATCATATGTAGTGATTAGGTGTGCTTACCATTGCCATAGTCAGGGTATAAGAGCCGTTTCAGTGGTGTGAATGATCTGCCTATGATGGGATTCTGAAGGTTGTTGCAAGAGCCATCAAATGTTCTGTACTCCATCTGAGCTGGGCAAGTGTACCTGGAATCAAGGAGACACATGGACTTATCATGGACTGAAACAATTGGCTTCAACAATACCCATGTTGTGCATCACAGTAATAACTTACACATGTCACATAATAGAAAAAAAAACAAAGTTTTGATGTTAAATTATAACCACTGTCGTATTTGAGACAGCAACTGTACGGAGGAGATATAAATTACAATTTTGATGTTAAATTATAACCACTGTCTTATTTGTGACAGCATATGTCCTTTAAACTATGGCTGAAGATGTACTGTATCTGGCCTTAGTGAGTACAGTCTACATACCTTCATGTTTATTTACAATGAAATGGCTTTGCTCATATATTTAACTTACCTCATCCAGGGACAGGTGCCAGGTTACACATTTAACTACATTGGCCAGGGAAAGGTGCCAGCTAGGCCACATACTTGTGTTCACCTACCTTGGCCAGGGACAGGTGCCAGGTTCTGGGGTCGGGTAAGGATCATCTGGATTGAGGAAATAAGGGTTTTCCGGAATGGGTGATGGAATAGAGCGGAAATATGTCTCAGATTCGTGGTTGTCAATTCCAAACCTGAAATTAATTTTGAAATAATGCATCTGTTAATTTTAAAAGACTGCACAAATTAAGTGACTATAATTTCAGATTTCAAAATGTACCCATCACAGTAAAGAGAGTGACCATACTATAATTATGTGCTGTTAATCGAAACATACTTAATTAAGCAAAAATTACAGTAAATTTTATTTGTAGAATAAAATTAGGCCCAATGAGCTGCTAAATTTGTATTAGAGTCTTGAAATCAAGATTTAAAGCAAAAATAATCAGTTTCCCACTTTCCACAAACACTGTACATAAATCACACAGCCATTACCTGGAGATAAGGTAAGCTGAGGCATTGCACAGGACAAAAGCGGGAAGAGACAATTTCTTCGCAAAAGGCTTGGCACGCAGGAACCCCTGAACAACCCCAAAGGGACGATACTGATGTCTGTTGTTATCTGCACCAGAGAACAATTTTAAATCTTATATTTCAAGTGGCAATTGTTTAAGCAGGCAAAATAGATAAATGCATTAACATTAAAATGTTTCATCATTTTCATTTTAATGTCAAAAATATTTCTGTTTGTGTGACATCACTNAGTGCTGTTCATAAATAACAAATGGGTCTTGGATTAGACCTATACATGTACCAATGAGCCAAAAATTTAAAAATCTTGAGGTTGAATGGGATACCAAAGATGCCTCAGTTTTACAATAGCTGATTAGTCTATAAGGATATATAAAGACAGAAGTCCAATTCTGGTTTTACACTAGTCTTGGTCTGATCCATCTGCTAATTAACTTTATAGATCAATTTTTGATAATGTGGAAGCAACTTGTTAAACTTACCAGCCCTGAAGCAGCTGTGTCTTTTCTTATCTAGATCCATGCAGAATGTTCTGTCTGTGGTTTCAGGTAACAAGGGCTTGTATTTTCCACCATTAGGGTTGTGGGTGATTTTTAACCTGCCACGGGCTTTGAAAAACAGCAGAGAAGGGATTTTAATTCCAAAAATATATTATTAACAATGCATATTATGTTTGTATTACAACATCTGAGTTTTAAAAGTGACTATTAATCACAATGCATATTATGTTTTGTATTACAACATCTGAGTTTTAAAAGTGACTATTAATAACAATGCGTATTATGTTTTGTATTACAACATCTGAGTTTTAAAAGTGACTGTACCATTACTTGACAGTGCAGTCTGTTGTTACTTACCTGGATCAGATATGTCCCTTAGGGTGTCTGCTTCTTCTTTAGTAGAGCCATACACATTTGAGGCATCTAGAAAGGATGTGATTTGATTCAGCTGTTGCCTGGGACCTATAACAGAAAATATCATTCAACATGAGAAAGTTCTTTATTTTTATGTCAATATTTTGTATGTAAGTTGACACAATTTGCACGGGAAATGAATATCCAAAAACTTTATAACATGCCCAAAAAGCATTTTACTGATCTTAAATGAGTTGCTTTTCCTGCAAAACCAAACCTTACCAACTCCGCAATCCAATCCTGGTACTTCCTCTGAACGCACAAACTCCAGGCATTTTTTATTGGAGAAGACTTTATCATTGGGTGGTACAGGAATAGGGAGACACTGAGGGATGGAAGTATCACATCCATCTGATCCACATTCTATGTTCACTGTCTCTGTGGCTCTGCCTTAAGAAAAATTAAGACAATGCAACTAAGGTAACTTACGCTGTTTTGTTTCAAGTGTCACATAAAAAGGTAAAGGTGACAATATACAGGCACAAATAACTCCAATAGAAAGGATGTACTGGTTTTTCTAAACCACTTTCTTTCATTCCCACTATGAAAAACAGTCAAAGTTTTGGGTCATTTTGCCACTGCTATGAGCATCTGTGAAAAATGTCAAATAGCGATGGTTTCAACATCTTGTGTAGGTGAACTATTTTTGACATGCATGGCTGTGGCTTATATGAAGCAGATGAGGCACATTTCATGTCCGTAATGACCACAAATTTGTTACAGTTACAATGATGGAAGGGCCAAAGGGTGTGTTTTGGCTAGTTACTATCTAACCTCCTGTTTTGGACCTGTATTGCTTAATAGTCACAGAGCTATAATCATTTTTTACAAAATGTTAACAATCATTTTACTACATTAAGGAATATATAAATTTGTATAATATGTTATGAATAACAATCATTATTTTTGAACAGCAAGTTTTAAGTTTATAAGAAATATAGAAAAATGATATATATCAAAATGAAGGAGTTTTCAAAGACACCTTCAGAAAAAACAGTCTTACCACTGGAATCTTTGGCCAGTTTGGATATAGCTGTTAGTGAGAGGTCATGGTCAAGTGTCTGACCAAACTGCATCACCATGAGTGTGTGGATTTGATTGGGAACATCTTGGTCTGGGTGAAGGGCCATACTCACTTTTCTTGGACTGGGAAGCTTAAGACGACTTCTAGACAACCTGGGGCTACCCACACCTACAAGTAACAGATTTTTTTTATTTAAAAGCTATTGGTCATCATTCAAAACAGTTCATTTTCTTTTTATTATTATTATTTTTTATTTATTTATTTATTTTTTTTTTTTTGTAACCTATTTAATGTAAAAATGGCCAATAAGTCATAAATGCTGCTAAAATGCCATTCAAACCTCGAACTACTTAAATTAAATTACTTAAGTCTTACTGAAAAGTCTTACTTTATCATACTAACAAAAGTGCAAAGGTAAAATACTATGTTGTGATTAGGTGTGCTTACCATTGCCATAGTCAGGGTATAAGAGTCGTTTCAGTGGTGTGAATGATCTCCCTATTATGGGATTCTGAAGGTTGTTACAGGAGCCATCAAATGTTCTGTACTCCATCTGAGCTGGGCAAGTGTACCTGGAATTAAGGAGGCATATGGACCAGTAATGGACTGAAACCAGTGGCTTTTACAATACCCATGTTGATGTTAAATTATAACCACTGTCATATTTGAGACAGCAACTGTATGGAGGAAATATAAATCACAATTTTGATGTTAAATTATAACCACTGTCTTATTTGTGACAGCATATGTCCTTTAAACTATGGCTGAAGATGTATCTGGCCTTAGTGAGTACAGTCTGCATACCTTCATGTATATTTACCATGAAATGGCTTTGCTCATATATTTAACTTACCTCATCCAGGGACAGGTGCCAGGTTACACATTTAACTACATTGGCCAGGGAAAGGTGCCAGCTAGGCCACATACTTGTGTTCACCTACCTTGGCCAGGGACAGGTGCCAGGTTCTGGGGTTGGGTAAGGATCATCTGGATTGAGGAAATAAGGGTTTTCCGGAATGGGTGATGGAATAGAGCGGAAATATGTCTCAGATTCGTGGTTGTCAATTCCAAACCTGAAATTAATTTTGAAATAATGCATCTGTTAATTTAAATAGACTGCACAAATTAAGTGACTATAATTTCAGATTTCAAAATGTACCCATCACAGTAAAGAGAGTGACCATACTATAATTATGTGCTGTTAATTGAAACTTACTTAATTAAGCAAAAATTTCAGTAAATTTTATTTGTAGAATACAATTAGGCCCAATGAGCTGCTAAATTTGTATAAGAGTCTTGAAATCAAGATTTAAAGCAAAAATAATCAGTTTCCCACTTTCCACAAACACTGTACATAAATCACACAGCCATTACCTGGAGATAAGGTAAGCTGAGGCATTGCACAGGACAAAAGCGGGAAGAGACAATTTCTTCGCAAAAGGCTTGGCACGCAGGAACCCCTGGACAACACCAAAGGGACGATACTGATGTCTGTTGTTATCTGCACCAGAGAACAATTTTAAATCTTATATTTCAAGTGGCAATTGTTTAAGCAGGCAAAATAGATAAATGCATTAACATTTAAATGTTTCATCATTTTCATTTTAATGTCAAAAATATTTGTTTGTGTGCATCACTTTTTTTATTGATTTCAATATCATTTTAATTTATGATTTTTACAATTTTTTAATTTCAATACCAAATGCCTAAAAGGATCTCATTAACTACCGACTACCTGTTGACTAACTATTTGTCCAAAAAGCTACATAACAATTAACATATTCATATTTTCCCTTATTCTGTAAGATCACATTAGGCTGGCAATGTGTTACATTACAAAGTGAACATATATGTGGCTAGCATTACTGTGGGAGGTCCTCAGCTCAGCTGGTCTAGGTAGCACATGGTAACATGTAACGAGACATATTGGCACAGCTTGGGACACTCCTCCCTAACATCTCATATACAATTATGGCTTTTTTTTATTTGTGTCAATGCTAGATGTAATGAATGCAGGGAATGAGTTTGTAGTGACAGGTTGAATGAAGAGAGGTGGGGAAACAAAAATTTGGCAAAATATGAAAAATCTGGGCTCATCTTCACCAAGGCTTAATTTAGACCCAACATGTAGTCATGTAATTAACTGAAACAAAAAAAATGAACGTAAATAAAGGCAGCATCTCTATTTCCTTACTTTCAATATCTCGTGCCATTTGTGCTTCTCTCCTGAGTGACTGTGTCAGGCTTTTCATAGCACGCTGTATTGCATTTGGCAGCTCCTCTTCTATACTAGGGACATCTGGACAAAAGGAAACATTTATCTCTACACAAGCATATAGAATTATACATGTAAAAGGATTGATCAATTGCCAGCATTGAATCCAGTCATCTATGTGGACAGTTCATGAAGAATATTTCAAAGACAATTTATAAGTCAAATAATCCAATTTACATCATAAAAAATCTTCCAGGAAATTTTGACTGTCTGCACATTTGAAGTTTGGTGAACTGCTAATGGCATGCATACTCATTTTGTTTGGCTAATAATTAACACAAATGTTTTATGGTGTGTTTTTACCATTATATATGGCATGCAGACTTAATATGTCTGCCTAATAACACAAATGTTTTAATGTGTGTTTTAACCATTATGCATCCAATTCAAAGAAATGAGAATTTTTTTTATACAAAAGACTTCTATCTTGACCACTCATACATAAATTAATGAATTAATAAGACTGCAGTGTATGACATAACCCCAAAGAACAATCTACAAACCAGACTTTCTTTCACCATCATCACTGCTGCCAGATAGCGTCTCCTGTCTGTATGTTGTCTGGGCATTTGTTGACTCTTTGGGCAATGTCACCTGAACACTCTCTTTATCTGGGTTGGGAGACTGACCATTAGGGTCACATGTTCCGAAGTCACAGCTGCCTGTGGACTCCTTGAAGACCAGTCCGTGAGAGCAGGTCAACTCCCAGGCATAACCACCATTACAGACCACATATTTCCCACAGGTTGGGTGTGCAAAGGTGCCCTGGTGAGACTTGCAGAATTCCTGCGCATCAACTGAAACAATACAATCAGAATCGCTGCTATCTCTTTTCTTATGAGTTATAGATGCAATATCTTGAGAAAATATTTCATAATAGCAATTGTGTGTCTTTTCTGCCTCATAAACCATAATATCTATAATGTCTGTATGTAAATCAAATATATTTACACTGTTGTGTTCTGCTGACAGGTCTCTTTTCCACAGTAGTGGTCTTCTGCCTAGTGTCCGTAGCCTGCTGGTCAGTGCTTGGGCTTTGACCATTGTAGTAATGACGTGTGGTTACAGGAGGTGTCTGTTTCTTGTCTTTCTTGGTATCTGTGGTGTATTGAAATTTCACATCTGATAATTCTATTTATATTAAGTCAATTCATTTATGCATCAATACATACATATGCATGACTTTTAAAACAGCGAATAACAAAAGAATAACAAAAAATGTACCTTTTATGCAACTTACGTACATGCATACTATAAAGAGAGTAAAATATAAAGAATGATAAATAAATATACAGTACATATAATTAGAATATGTTTTCTATCATAATAACCTCCATGAATTTATACTATACATTTAACCAAAAAAAGACAAAAACTAAGAAAGAAAGAAAAAAAGAAAGAAAGAAATCAGAAGAAAAAATACCTGTTGACTGTCTCTGGGTACTGTATGTGCTGGACTGACTATATACTGGCTTTGACTGACTTGAGACTGGCAGTGGGCCTGGAGAGCCTGGATAGAAGATAAACATTTCTTCAATATTAACTTAATACTTTTAAGGATGAAAAAAGGAAACTAATTATACAATCAGTCAAAAAAAAAAAAAAAAAAAAAAGAAAGAAAAAAAAAAGAAAGAAAAAGAAAAGAAAAGAAAAAATCACTTCAGGTTGTCACAGTTGCTTTTCAAGGTTATGCATGCATGTCTAACATTTAGATACTTAAATGATAAATTTCATGGAGCTTCAGAGTAAACTGTTTTGTTTCTTGGTTGTATATCTTCATACCATTATGTTATTTTTTACCTGTGGCATGAAAAATTGTGACATCTGTGCTGATCTTGGATCCATCACATCATGTATGATGGGTCCAATGATAGATGCATAATTTTGTATGATAATATACCATATATTGTAACTGGTAACCAATTTATAATCTACTCCATATATATATTAACGGAAAAGTAGTCTTGCAATATGTAATTTGTCTTTGCAAGATTTGGTAATTAAAACAGCCAGAAATATTCAGTTTATGATATGCCAAAGAGCTGAGGGCAAATTAAGAGAGACTTTCACTTTACTTCAGGTCATACAGTGTAGTATTTTATATAGCCAGACCCCTTCTCTTGTCACCCTCTCTTTGGGCAGATGCTGCCCTTGCTGGGGAAATGGCGGAGCAGATGTCTCAAACACCTGCAACTTCTGCAACTTACCACTGTTCTGACATGGTCCTGTCTCACACCATCCTTTGTCTGGCTTGAAGACCAGCCCCCCTGGGCAGGGCATCTCCCAGGGAGTGCCACTCACACACTGGACATACTTGTGACAGTCACTAGGATGGGAGTACAACCCATCAAGGTGGATGTCACAGATCTGGCTTACTGCTGAGGAACCTGAAAATTTTATATTATTTTTTTTAAATTTAATTTTACATTAGTATATATATTACATCATTATATACTTTTTGGAGCATAGGTCTAACATTCGTTATATAATATGGTTGAAGTTGAAAGAACACTTCACTAAAATCATTGGTTATATATTGATCACATGAAATCATTGAATATATATGGCACTGAGGATGACACAAGGTTAAAATAAATGTTTGACTTTCTTTACTCTATATATTTCTATGTAAATTAAAACATTTTTAGAAAACTTAGCAATAAACTGGCAATAAACAAGTAGGTCGTTACATGCTAGGTAGACATAAAATCTAGGAGATCCATGTTTCTTGCATGCACAATATAAAATATCTTTAAAACACAGTGCAGAACATTAAATGAGCCAGCTATCAACAGAAAACAATTGTTTATCATGCCATTGTGTCTAAGTGTAATCAAAAACGACACCATTCATAACAGATGATTGCTACCTGAGGACTGCCTACGAATCCTTTCCTTGTCTTTTTCGAGATAGCCATTTGCTAGAACAGAGTACACTATGGAGAGAAGTACCCAGGTGATAGGTAACCTACAATACATTAATTTTTATTTCATAATTGTGAAAACATTGTATAACCAATTTAAAAAATATGTAAATGAATATTTAAACTTTTTAGGTGTATATGGTGTGGTTGGAATTGTGATAAGACCTAAATAAAAGAAAAAATGTATAAAAATAATGGAATCAGTCATTGACACAGAAGGTGTTTTAAATTATATCTGTTTCCCCTAATTAGCTGGTCATTGTTTTACATTAAGCAGTGATCTTCTTGAATAGTCCAATTATCTGTAGCTAATGTTTTAATCAAGCCACTGTTTTATGGTTTTATGTGCTGTTAAGTCCTAGGATCTACACTTACCTTATGCAATTTACTAAACGAATGATTATATATAACCCAAATCATTTTCCTGACATGTACCCTGGTACATGTCTTAAAGCTATGTAATAATTATTGGTAAATATGAATGTTCTTGCATTCCTGAAGTGTGGAATTTTAGCTTTAAGCTCATATTTGTATTTGCATTACAAATTGTTGCTGAAAGGTGATAGATCAGAATTTGTTGAAACATGTATATACAGTATATTAAAGACCATTAATCTTTGTTCAGTGAATTGCTTATAGTGTTTATTTTCAATCAAACAGCATTTTAATTAAGTATAATTATTTTCTTTTAGATAATTGGCAAATAGCTTTTTTAACTAGAATTTAATTATGATTACATGCTTAAATGATAGCAGTTAAATCATCAGTAATTAGCATCGTAACTGTCACTTGAAGAATATACCTACCATAAACACTATTAACACATTTCTAACTAACACAAAGAAGGAAAACACACCTTACCTTCTCAGTATCATTTCCATAGCTGTATCTGAAAGAAGTAAACCAGTGCCTGCTGTATTTAAGTGAGCTTCCAGACACAAGACCACAAGCCAGGTACATGTGTGCCCTAGACATTGGCCACAATTAATCCATGTTTGGCCCCAACAGCACATATGTAAGAGGATGGCACACGTATCCACAGCAGTGACATTAGGTTTCACCAATAGGCCATGGGTGTGGATAAACAAGAATTAAGTAAAAAATTTCAAAAAAGGCAAAATCTGTCACTTGAAGTCACACTGTGGTAACAGCTTGTTGAGGTAAATAGAGACACCTTCACCAGAAGTCACCAGGCTGCATGCTCACACCCATATTGGCAGACAAATTCTTTAAATATGTGGTAGTCATTTACTTGCTGCTTCATTTTTGTGGGTTGCCCATTTTTTTAAAGTTGCTGATGTCTGTACAACTGTTCCATGCACTTAACACATATCATGTAGTCAGACAGTGTATTAAGGTTTATTAAGTCCAATTAATTGATAGTTTTTAAATAAGATCTTCCTTAACAGGCTGGCTAATTGTCAAGTAAAATTAACTTGAATTGCAATAAATCATTTGGGCAGGGTATTCAATGTCGAAAAAAGAAAAAAAAATAAGCAAAATGCAAACCTCTTTACATGTACAGATGCTCGTGCTATGTGACATTTGTTTAGGAAAATGTCGCCCTACAAATAGACAAAATACCTACACCAGATGTTACAGGAAATTGTTAAAGGAAAGTATTTATCTATATCAAACAAATCCAGAATTAATTTCTTTTTGTTGACGTAGGAACCTGTCTCAAAGGAAAAACTGACACGGAAACATTCCTGTTTAAAAATATTTCATTTAATCCATAACTTTATGATAAATTAATAACATCCATCGATTAGTAAAGAATACTTGCCCTGTTGAGCAAATAAATTTGCCTAAAACTGCAGCAACATATTGTGCACTGTCTTTGCGTACATCTTTTAGATTTCAGGTTTCAGGGAATTTGTTTATAATATATTTGTGGTATTCTCATTACTCAAATTTGATAAAGAATTTACATACACTGATGCTCATAAGTTAAGCAACACTTTCTTATTTCTCAAATTTCTCAGCAACCAAAATTTTATTGAGGCAGAATTTGTACAGTAGCTAGATATTTATCTTGTTTTTACTTTGACTTACTGGACCATGACATTAGAGTACTATTTACTGTTGGACACGATAGAATATGCAATGGGGGTGCCACTTGCGAAAAACACAGTTTGGCCATGCCATGAGGAGCTTCCAGTTTGGCTAGTTTCATGGGCACAATTTGTTATTTTGGACCAACCAATGGTTAGAAGAGGACTCAACGAGGTAATCAGATGGCAAATAATGGGAAGCCATCGTGCTGGGGTGCCAAAGAGACAGATACAAGGCAACAAAAAAGTAGCACCAAGTCAAGTGTCCAAGCTGGTAGCAAAATGGCGCCAAGTTCATCATGTATTGGACAAGCCTCTCTCTGGTAGACCAATATTAACAGACGCAAGAGATGAAGATATCTGGTTCGATTATGCCACCAGGACCAGTTCATATCAGCCAAACAACTGAGGAACATCTGGCCTGGATAAGGAAGGGCTCAAATCAGAAGGCAAACAGTCAACAGGCATCTTTTAGAAGCTGAACTTCCATCTAAAAGACCTCGTCAAAAGCCACAGTTGACCAACAAACACAAGCAAATAAGATTGACATGAGCCAGATAGCGAGAAAGATGAAATCTCAGGACTGGGCGAAAGGTCCTGTGGACTGAGGAGACCAGATTCACTTTGATGTATGCAGATGGTCGGCTAGGCGTCTGGAGACATCCAAACCAAGCGTTTCAGGATGATTGTGTTCTTCTGCGTGTTCAGGGTGATGGAGTTTCCGTCGTAGTATGGTGGGGTTTCTCATATGATGAAAAATCGCCACCGTACGTCATTCAAGGGAGGTACCCTGGTCAACTATACAGAGACGAAATACCATTGGGGCGCATATAATCACACATTCAAGCAAATCCAGGAAGAAAAATCATTTTGGTGCAGGACAATGCGCCCATCCAGAAAGCATGGTCCGTGCAAGACGCGCTGCAATAGCAAGGTATCCCACATTTGGATTGGCCTGCATATTAACCAATTCTCATTGTAATCGAACATGCTTAGGATATGATTGACAGGGCAGTAAATGAGAGACAACCTCCAGTTAGAAACATTAGAAAGGTCCAGCAGGCAGTAAATGAAGAATGGAACCGGCTCCCAAAGCAAGATTGGCAGAATTTGGTGGCAAGTGGCAGGAGACAATGTGAAGCTGTTGTTCAAAACCAGTGAAGGCACACCCGATATTTATTGCATAATAGACGATTAATCATCTATTATCCACAGTCTTCTTTTATTAAAGCTAATTCTTAGATGACCGAACTTTAATTTTTTCATAATGAGCTGTTTTAATCAGCACGTACTTTTTGCTGTGTGAGCATACTTTTTTGACACATGGTTTGGCATTTTTTTACCACCGTTTGGTTGATAAAGTTATTTTGATTATTACAATAAGCAATGTGGTGTATTTCTTTAACCGAAATATTCAACTTGAATAAGTTATTTATTAAATATAAAAGAAATATGCATTATCCCACCAACAAATGAAATAATGATCATGATAGAAGAAACTTTTGAAAAAATCGGGGTGTTGCTTAACTTATAAGCCTCAGTGTATATGTTTGCAGTTCTTGGAAGCCCAAAGGATGCCCATCCCACCCCCTATTTGAGATCCTGTGTTTGCTAGGACTCTGCTCAGAGAGTCCCATTAGGTATATACGATAACCCTGAAAGCCTCCTTTTTATTTCCTGGGATGCGTGACTCGCGAATGCGGCTTCTTATCCTCCTCCCTTCGTGAAACGAAATCATTGTGACCTGGTGATACGTGATTTTCAGGATTTTCGACGCGCATTATCAGTAACATTAAATAAAATCACATTTACTTTGATTTGTGAATAGACGAATTAATTCCCCGTGATCTTTGTTCACTACGCAATAATGGGACCATCTGTTAGTGATATGCGAGAACATGCAATCAAGTGACAGGTTATTAATATACCTAATGTAACTGAATGGTACATTTTTTCATTCCATAAATTATGTGCCTACCCTCTTGCCACTGATATTATCATTATGTATTCTCAAACGCATACACATCTTTTATTTATTTGGCTTCCTTGAACGCACCCCTCACCTATGCGATACCTGTGGAGGCGGCGGTCAATCCCTTACCCCTATGCAAAACAAAATTTATTTTGAAGTATGCACATAAAAAAATCAAGCGCCTGCAGCTATGACCGAGACCTTAAAATGAAGAGATGATCCACACTTAAATGTACTCTAAACAATTTTAGTCTGTGAATGCAAACAATTGCACAACTTTTCACCGGCAAATTTTTAAAATGATACGAGGGATTTAGCCTAATCAACAAAGCAGAAACAATTTTTACCGTCACTGATTGTAATTATCCGGTGATCCACCTATCACAATATGCAGCAGGGCGGTTTGACTATTTTTTAAAATTAATACGAGGGATTTAATCAACAAAGCACCAAACAATTTTTACAGTCGCTGATTGTGATTATCTGTTCATCCACCTACCACAATATACAACACCGTGTTAGCGTTACCAACTTGTTTCAAACAGGCGCGCAAAAGCTGAATCATAACACTTTGTCTTAAAGCATGCAGGGAATGAGAAAGCAGCATAATAGATAGATATTCCAAATGTTTTCGAAGTATATGACAAATATCGAAACTGGTCCGGTTCATATAGTTCCTTACTTTAAAATGTTACTTTAAAATAATTGGGAATTTATTAAGAAATATATGCAGAGCATTTGTAAATCAGTAGAATTCAAAGACAAATAACGATCAATTTTATCAATTGGATGATCATTGTGTGCCAGGTTGAACAATTTCAACAAGACGAATTACCTTAAACTACATTTTTATTCTTTCCTAAATTTTCATTAGGTACAAATTAACATGTAAACTTAAATTAATTTATTATAATTAATTATCACATACTATAAACACCTCGGAAGAATAAAATGTATATATATATATATAATACAGGGTCCCACGCATTATTTACACAAAATACGTGTGCTATCCTATTTTCCTGTAGTTCAGTTTGGCCTATTTATCTTATCCATCTTCCTGAATGTCTGTGCAATTTTATTTTCTTTATTAAGTATTATATATATTTACATAATGGTGTAATTCGAAATGCACTGTACTAACATTATTCAGCTTCCATAATAAATATTGTAAACTGCCAGTCTGCCTCTCATTTTCCTCTTTGCCATCTCTGGTATAACACACTGGCCAGGGAAGTTATAAATGTGAAACGTTTGAAATATTTTACAGCTGTTAGCGATTTCAAAATTTTAAACGAGTAACAAAAGTTAGCCTATATACGCGCTCTGAAACGGTGTGTACATGTACAGATATAAAATGGAAGTGATTTTTCTGTTGTCTGTTTCTGTTCTTGAGCTACCTTCGTTTTCAAGCGAACAAAAGTAACTGGCTTTACTGATGCTTTTGCAGTGTGACTGAAACCTACTTTATATATTCCAAAGTTAAAAATTAATTCTACCAAATATTAAAAAATAATCATCACATGATATTTGACCGTTTCCTAATTCTTTCCCAAGTCACAAAAGGAAAGGAAGGTACTTAGGGCAAGAAGGACTTTTACAAATCAGCTAACGTTTTACATTTACAAAATTCGCACTTGTTATTGCAACATCAATAGTATGGTCTCCTTTTGTACGTTTTACAGTCTGTCTTGGACTTCACGTTCCTCATATAAATGGCGTATCTCCGTCCGAACTTTCGGACCAGACTCCTATGGTCCAGCTCCAGTCTGACCTCCCTTCCGTGGATGGCATTCTTACCCATCATAATGTATTGTTCATTTGTGCGTAGATCGGGACATCCACACAAGTTGGGAACCCATACGTATTCCCTAGGTAGCATGGGGACCGTGGTTTTATACGTCTGTATAACGCTGATGTCGTAACGCATTGCGCCTCTGGATTTGATCCCGCCGTTCACCTTTGCACGAATTACTGAAAATAGCAGAAAACCATTCATCATTTGAGCACTTTTTGTTGACGTTCTACTATCAAGTGTGTTTACGCTTCTAAAAAGGAATTAGACGAACGAATGAGTTAATCCAATTATAGATTTGTAAACATGGCATGGAATGGGCATTTAAAGAACTTCAGCGTAGTATAATTACACATCCCTTCAACTTCAATGTTTAATCTAGGTAAATGTCAAAAAGTGACTACAATTATATTGTAAACAGAAGCTTTTGACTCTGAAGGCATACTAGTAAGGCTCCTCAACCAATGTACATGTACGCACCGAAATCACTATCACAGTATTCTGCCTGCCAGTCCCGTACGTAGGGACACTCGAAACATTTCCCTAAAAGTGAATTAATCAATGCAGTTAAATTGAAATAGCAGTTTATGTACATACTGACGGTGATTTTCATCTAACGTAAATTCTTGTACGGTAGTTTTTTTTTTTTTTTTTTTTTTTTTTTTTTTTTTTTTGTTTCACAGCCATCAAAATGTGTACAACCAACACAGAATACATTTAAGCATCTAAATAAATACTGGTACATTTACGCATATATAAATTTCAGCCTCGTTTTTATTTGAACTTTGATTGCAACTTTTAGATTGAAAATGGAAGAGTTTTTCAAAAGGAATCGACTTCTTTAGTGCTACTTGTACTGTCATATAAGATATACCTGTAACAGGATCAACTATCAAATCTTCATCTGCATCGTCCAATGTGAAGCCAAAAATATCCTGGTTGTTCGGAACTGCTGTCGTTGTTGAGGAGGAGGAGGTAGTCGTGGACATAGGTCCTACTGAGGTTGTTGCCACTGTTGAAATTGCACTTGTGGCTGCAGCCCTAGTTGTACTTGTTGTAAAACTTTTTGTAGGTGCAGCTGTCGTCCATTCGTAATTTCTCTGATAGATATATTTCCCAGGTCTGAAATTATTGTAACCTCTGTAAACATACAGCCTGTCCTTGGTTGATGTTCCTTGATTTATATTATTGTTGTTCCGAGTATTATAATAATTACCATATGGATTATACTGACTTTGGTACGGCCTTCGACTCGTTGTGGTCGTTGCGGGCGTGGTAGCAATAGAACGTGTTGTTCTGTGATATCTTTTTCTATAATTCCTGGCATACTCATTCATTCTTTGATTATAGGAACGGTCGTCATCTCTAGTGTTTGGTTTTTGCACATTTTTCTGGCGTTTTTGCTCTTCCGGCTGTTTTCCCCTGTCCGACGAAGTTGACTGCAATGCCGCTCTTTGGCTTGGATAACCTGGAATCCTACGCAACGGATATGTTGATGGATGCCCGTTGTCGTTGTACGTATTATGACGCGTCTTGTCTTTTTGGTTCTTGTTATTGTACTTATCTCGATTGCCATCAGGAGGTAAGGATTTCTTTGGTAGCCAATATCCATATGTTATACCGGGGTTGCTGCTTCTGAGTAAAACCTGCAGAAAAAAAATACCTGAGAATCGTTTCTTTAATGACATTACTTTTTGGAACTCAATTTGAAAAAAAAAATAACTGACTCCCGCCATTATGGACCTCTTTTTGTATTTTTTAATGACTTCGTTAAATAGTTATAGATCACAATATCGCAATGTTAGGCCCTTTGACACAAACTTCGAAATTTAATCTATTTCGGAAAATTGTTATCCATCATATCTAAATTTTATAGTTCATTCCAGATATTTTGTTGGAATCTTATCAATACCCTACCATTAAATATATTACTTCTGTGGTTGGCCCTGCTATACTTATTGTTTCCTTATTTTCCCAGTCTCTCTCGTACTGGACGACTGTGCCAGCCACGTTATACTTTCCAGGCCACGTGATCGACCAGCCTCCATTGATGATGTACTTCTTCTTGGAGTCTGTCACGGCTGTGTGTACAAAAATTGACCATTAAATAAAAAAAGACTTTTATTATGAAATAAAAACAAAATAGCGACATTAACTTTTATCACCGAAAGATGTCACTGATATTTTGCATTGGATGGGTTTTTCTATAATTAAACATGGGTGGTTCAGTAAGGTATGAATTGACGAACAATAAATTGAATTGTGATTAATTATGCGACAGAACCTCTACGCTCTACACGGGCCTACTAGGGAGAGCATGGAGCATGTTGTTTCACCGTCAATTCGCGGTAATAAATAGGACATAAATATTGCGTTTTGTATATTGAATCTTACAAATACTGATAATAAAACATTTTTACAAAGCCTGAGCAACGGGCTCGTTGCTTAGAATGCTATGAAATGAATCAGTGATTATTTATTATTATTTTTTTTTGTTCTTGCAAAATATCCTAAATTATATTCTTCCCTCTTTCCGTACTTGCATTTGTTATCTTGAAAAAAGTAGTAAAAAAAACATGTATATTAGCAAATAAAAATATTCTCTTTTATTAACAAGTACCAAATAACAATTATTTACAATAAATACACCAGTATGTACATTTTATTATATATCTCCTGAATACAGTGCTAGAATTATTGATCCAGTTCTACGCGTTTCTAATGATGTTTAAAAAACGCAAGATTCCAAGAGTGGTTGCTCGTCTACTTGATGCTAAAAAATGGCATACTAATCAGTTCCATTCACAATGAGTGCAATGGTGATAATGGAAATGATGATTGTATGTAAAAGTCAAACTTTAACTGCTAGTTCACCCAACTCCTTCACAATGCCAGCCAAAGTTGGGCGCAGGGAAGGATCACTAGTTGTACACCACAGGGCGAGCTCCGTCAAGTCGCACATCATCTCTCGTTTTCCTATATCTTCAAAGATACACCCAAGACTAAAAACGTCTATCTGTGCGGTAGGTTTGCTATACTTAAATAACTCAGGAGCCAAAATGGGTCGCTTTTTACTGAAAATCTTTAGCTTCCTCTCTGCAAATGTCTGTGGTGGCATAATAGGGTTGTCGTCGTCCAATAACACGACGCCGCCGAGGTCTACCAGTCGCGGGTGGATGGCTCCCTCGCTGTCCCTCGTCACCATAATATTTTCATCCTTAAGGTTTAAGATGCAAATGCCACGCTGAAATGCAAAAAAAAAAAAAGTATCACTAAAAATATACAATACCCGTTTTGGTATTTTCTATTTTTTAATCTTATTTATTTATTTATATTTTTCATTATCTGCTTCTATCACCTAGTTTAAAATTTTGATTTGTCATTATCACAAATCCCAACTTACCTCATGGATTTCCATGAGACCTTTCGCTAGTTCCATACTGAAGCTAAACCAGTCTTTGGTGGTCAAACCACCTCGAGCAAACTGGGTCTGCACGAAACTCTTCAAGTTGAAGCACTGATTTGTGTTTTCCTTGAATCGCACCAGCTCCATAACAATTGCCAAGTCAGCATATTTGCTGGTCCTCTGTTGTTTCCCTTCCAGTATGCCATAGAACTTTGGGCATAGTTTGGTTCCTTGCAAGATTTCTAAGAAGGCTGCTTCTCTGCGAATGTGTTTCTCAGACGACTTGTTTCTTTTAAACATTTTCACAGCGACAAAGTCTCCGGTCGGTTTATATCTAGCCAGAAACAGAGTTCCATAACGACCACTACCTATTTGAACCAATTCTCCACGCTTGTCTCTCTCCAGGACAATGTGGTCAGGCGGACATGTGTTCTCATATGCCTGGAATAAGGATAATGTCCTTTGAATTTCAAAAGAATAAGGGAAGTTTACGATTTTAACAATAAAACAGGAAATAGTGTCGTTCTTTTTTGTGCATGCTAGAGAGAGAGAGGGCGTTACTCACAGCTTGATAAAGACGCTGCTTGTTATTCTGGTATCTCTGGTTTTGTTCCATCGGCAACCAATCTGGATACATTTTTGGAACATATATTTCATTAAGGTCAGTAAACTCCGGCTCTAGGCGGTTGTTGTTTGCACCGCAGCAAAACAAATATCTCATTCGGCGCCTAAATTCCTTCCAGAAGCTTGGCTGCGCCTATAGAATAGAGTTAGCTTCATAATGATATCGATAATTTTAAGAGATAGTCAAATCTTATATAATTTCAATCTAAATTTACGAAGCAGCGTGCGGTTAAGTTTTGATGTTTAAATGTGATCAATATTTCATAAACAAATAACTTGACCGAATTCCCTTCATGAACATGTAAACATAGATGTGAATGCGTGAATGCGTGAATGTAAAACCTTGATTGTATATGTCTTCTGTGTTTGTACAGATTGTAATGTATTGTTGGCCAGAGGCCTTTAACTACAAAGAATAAATCATCATCATCAGTAATAATTCTGAACGACCTAAACATGCTTGAAGTATACAAAGCGATAAATTTATTGTATAATAAGAGAAATTACTCACCGGAGTTGACGTGGATGCTCTGTCATCCATCACTCTTTGAAGTCTAGATAAAGTTAACATTGTAAACAATATCTGATATCTTTCTTCACTGCTATACAGCAATACGTGCGAATAGTCTACACTGCGGGTTCAGTGTTATGGTAACCGAAACCTCGGCTAAGTGACGTAACTTGTATGTGACGTAGATATCGTGACGTAAAACGTCACAAACAAAGAGAAGTCCGTGTACTCTTTTTCTTTTGTAATGCGCAAACTGACACAACGATCCTCTAATCTATCAAGCCAAATTGTTCGCCTTGATATTAATATCTATTTCAGTCAAATCAAACCGCATTTCTTTTACTCTCTCACAACAGGGACCGCTAGTTGTCTGTCACAAAATTATTGTCAAAACTTGTGTAATATGTCGGCGGTGTTTGTAGACTAAACTTTCCCACCCGTTTCCTGTTGATTTCTGTAAAAAGATGACACTTTCAACGGGCGATCAGACGCCAAATGATTCGGGTTTGAGCAAAGCATGCGCCCATTTATACATGCGTCTTTTAAAAATTCGGCCGAATGTTAGGCGGGTCTGGGATTATGGCAAAAATTATGTATATAAAGTTGGGTAGTCTGGGTCTCCACCTGTAACAGAATATAAAAATGGCTTATTTTAGTATATGTTTGATCGTAAGGAATAGGTGGACCTCCTAAGGACCCCCCTTCCACGTTCCCTGGCTCCTACACCGATAAATAATTATACAAATATAGGTACTGGCATTTCAATACCCACCGAGGTAATTATCACTGCTGTCTTTGACAGTGATATGCGTAGCTCCAATGGGCACTGTTGCTATTTCTTCATAACCGTACCTTCTACCTAAAATAAATTGTACTTGGAGTTATATAAATGCTTGGCCCATAAAATGTCTAATTTAATAAGATAAAAACTGGCCAATACATTTTGGTAATACAGCTAAAAAAGTTTTGGGTATACATCAATCTTTTAAATCCGTCATTAACTCTGCGGTTCAGAGCCGCTAAACTACGAAATTTAGTTTCACATTTCTATACATGCTGGTGAGTCTCGGACCTGAAACTCAGAATGAGAACTGTCGCACAACATTACCTGAGACTGTCTCGGTGTCGTCAGTATAGAATGCACTTTGAAAATGGTAACATGTGTCATTGCGCCCGCCGCACACCATACACATGTCTTCCTTTAAATCTGATCCAATGCGTCCATCGCAACCAACTTTCTACAATGAAGGAAGACAAAGTAGATCAAGTAGATCAACATTTCATAACATTTGGTTTCAATTACTAAGATAATGCAGTGACATTTCTTCATTCATTGTTCAGCTGGATATTTTTAAAAATTAGGTTTTTATGAAACCAAAACGCATGAATGAGCAACAGAGTGTAATAAAAAAAATCACCAAAGCACAAAAAGCAGTGCTCACTTGGCATTTTCCTTTTATGCAAACGTCGTGCGTTTCATCATTACATTTGGTGCCATCTAATACTGTTCCAAACCCATAGTAAAACGTCACATCCTTTGCCTTGCAGCGAAGGTCACATGGTGTCAAGTTGCTAAGATACGCTTCCCACGCAGCCACCTTGCGTCCGAGTACCTTCTTTCCGTTATGGCGAGAGCATTGGTAATCTCTAAAACTGAGGCTGCCTTCCGGGCAGGGCTGGTAGGAATAAGTGAGATAGATGAAATAGAGCCTGTTAATTTATCATTGTAAAATATATTTCGGTTTCATGTTCATTTCAAATAGCACAGGGCGTGTGCATGTATGCAAGAACCACGTCGTTTTTTTTTTTTTTTATCATCAGTGACTGGTTATTTCGACGTTCAGCTTCTCTTTTAAAAGTCAAACATGCTGAAAAAGTAATATCTTCAAGTATTAAATGCAAGTAACCAATATATTCATTGTGACCTAGAATACCTACAACAACCCATTTTCCTTCATACTTCATGTTGACCCTAACTTCACAAGGTGGACACACTTCAGTTTTATTTCATCTTGAAAACACGTTGATCGCTTACCTTGGTATTACAGGTGGCATACTCTTCTCTATCCCCACTACAAGCTGCAGAATCGTACCCGCGACACTGCCTCGATCTCGTCTTGATCCCCGCCCCACATGTCCGAGAGCACTTTGACCATCCGGACCAGTCTGACCAAGGTCCCGGATGTATCGGGAAGAAGGGGCCTTGGTATATGTCGCCACTGCGTGCAGAATATTGCCCACAGTTAATCTGGAAGAAAAACGAATTTAAGAGGAAATTAGCTTAGGTCTGCTTTTTTATATTACTTTTTTTCAGAAAAATAAACAGAAGCGATGAAAAAACGCAGGAAATTTGAAAATCTAATATTTGTAACAAATGTCTACGGAGTCATAAGGTGACAATTTACTGGCACGAAAAACCCAGAAAGCAGACTTAAATGTGTTATTTATATACTTTATCCCCAACGCCAACATTACCTGTTTCATTCATTGAAAACACTGTTACAAAGCGGGTTTTTAGCTGATTGACTTAATTTGGTTTAGTCCAAACGAAACTCCTTGCTATCTTAAACAATTATGAACCGGCGGGAGTGATCTCGATTTTAATTCTATTTTCCTAAGTAATGTACATTGGATGGTCTACAAATACCGTATCTTTAGGGTCATAAAATGTTCACAAATAGCAAAATGGCAAAATTCGCTTTCATTGAACACGAATAATCTGAGTGATCAAATGTACTCTAACTCTACAATGAGGGTATTTATCAGTTTAATTTAATTCATATGGTCCTTATCTATTCCATATATACATAGCCGTTTCCATCCTTCCTGATTAGTTTATTTTATGTTTTTTTACTTCCATTTTATGACTGCTTACTTAGGACGAATACAGTAATATTGATTTTCTTCAGGACCTTACACAAGCTATCACTTTATCTAAATAATGTGCAGAATCTCGAGCATATTCATCACGCACGTGTTCTACAATAACTATGATCACATTCCTATCTGTAAATAAGACCCTAGATCATAAGCAGTAGACTTTGTTCACGGTGCAAATTAAATCTTTCCCTTGAGCATATTCCAGATATTTTGAAAATTTGAGAATCTTTATGTGACATATGGTAAAGTAGCAAGTGGTCCATCGCGTGCGCTTGTACTGTCGCGCGTGCATGTGGGGAAAGGGGTAAGGAAGAAGTACACATATTGCAAATTAGAAGTATCTTTTTCTTACACAAGAAGCACAAAAGTCGTTGAAAGGGTAAAAGATAAGGAGAGCTGCATGTTATTTTTTTATACCTGTGATTTTACGTTACATTATGAATCCAAACAACAAAGTTTGATCGCTTATAAATCGCGTTCACAAATAAAAACGCGCGTTTTTTTTTAGTGGAGCGTTCCCTAAATTAAACATGACAGAAATGTGATGTACGGTTTGTGGCTTAATTGAAACTTGGACCTTTATGATTAGGTCTTCCTTCCTTCCTTCCTTCCTCCCTGTATACTACTTCATGAAGTTCTTTTTTATGTTGCGTTTCTCGCACTGCTTTTTTCACCCATTTCCAACAATGCAATGATGAAAATCTTTCCAACACATTGCAAAACTTTAACTCAAATATTTAGTGTTTCTGTAATGGCTTATATAAACTCCTGGTTTAGCTGACATAAGCCAATAAGCTATCTCAGTCATGCACCATTCAGTGAAATGCTATTTCATGTAAGTGCCAATATACAGAGAGAACGTGGCAGTAAAACCTGCCTCTATTGCCTGCTGTAGTCAACTCATGTAAGGTTATGCTGCTGTTAACGAGAAAAGAGGCGTTAAGAAAACCCATCTGTTTATTTAGTCTGTTTTATCACATACGTACTCTCAAAGGTAACATATCGTAGATCTCTCATCTGGAAAACGAGAGGTCACAGAAGTCGAGTGATTTACCTTTAGACACCGTTGAAGTTGAAATAGAAACATCCATAGAAACATCAATAACGTACTTTTGGTCTTTCTTGAACCTCTTAAAAGTTACAGGGTATTCGCCTAGATTGGTAAGGCAAAGGTACATGAGTTCGTGTCGCTCAGGGTAATGTACGCGTATTTTCTAATTTGCGTGATTTTTTTATGTTGATTATCACACCTGATATTTCGGTGAACAGTGTGTACGAATGTTTCAGTCAAAATAAATCGAGCTGTAGAGATGATAAGATCACATGGTTTGACTGTATCATCTAGAAAATGTCTAACCCGAATCATCGGTGAGAAATATATCTTGGAAATATGCGATCGCACACGGAGTCTTTTGATGGCGAGAGATGACGCAGAACTTCGGTCAGGTCGATAGAAAGTAAAAACTGATGAAGAAAACACGCTTACATTACAGAATATTAAATGGACGAGGTTCGTGAAGTTGATAGGGGAACATTATCGAATTCTTGATCAAAAATTTAAGGCGAATTTTACTCGTAGCAACTTATTTGTGACGTAAGCATTTAAAGAAATGTAATGTATACTGGATAACTCATATCACACTCGAAATTTGGCCTTAACCTCACGTCTTTTCGAAAAGGCAAAATGCATATTTCATACTATTTGATATTTCTTTACTGTGCAAGCGCACAGAGTGTAGCATTTTCTATGTACATTTACGTGTGCCTTAGTTGTCACAACTGAATCATTTACATGTAGTTTGCTCGAGTACTGATGGATGATGTGAATACAATGACAAGTAAGTCTGCATATTACAGTTTATGTACATATCCGTCTGTAAACAAAAAAATAGATCAATAAATCTACAACAAAAACAACGAAACAAAATTCAAGCCAGGCATCAAAATTAAGCACATATAGGGGAAATTTTCCAAAATGTTGTAATAAGAATATACCTGTATCAGACTCAGCAGCACAGCTCCAAAAAGAAGACTCCCTCTTATCAGGTAATTCACAGTACACTCCATTTTGCTCCCTGGTTCACTTATACCTGATGAAAAATAATATACGTTAAATTTCGATATGACAAGTACAGTACAAACAAGAAAGACTGCAGCGAATATTTGTAAGCAGTATTCCGTCTACGGCATAACCAACAACTCCTGAAAAAATATGAAGAACAGATGCTTTTTATCGAAAAAAAAAAGTTACAAGACATTTTGTTGCTTCCCTATCTCGGCGCAGAGCAATTTTCACTGACTCGTTCCGGACACAGTGGCCGAGGCGATATATTTGTGAATTTAAATTTAAAAGCGGGGCGTAACTAGACCACTAGAATTCGAGCTGAAAAATGAAGGGGCGGGAGACGGGGAGGTTAACGTAGTGCATTTGATACTTCAATAATGACTCAATCATTTCAGTATAGAGGGAGCGATAAGTAAGTAGGTCTTATTACCGCCTTGTCGTCCGCTGTGCATTCGGGAAAACACGGGGAGAGCCCCAGGGGTGCGGGGAGGGGTCAGGGGTCAACCTCCGTTTAAGTTCATTCGATGATGGTTTACAAGATAGAGGGAAGATTTACAGAGCTGCTTCAAACAACTAAAGATGCGTTCAGAGATTGAGAGCCGAATGGAGCAATGTGGAATAAAATAGCCCTGATATATGTTTGTCAATGAGTAGATAATGCACGTCTTTTTTATACAAATATGATTCAAGGATTGATACATGATAAGGACCATTTGTGGGATTCTTGGAGAGATGATAAACCTAAAACGAATTTCATTGGTTTCATCGACAGTTTAATAGTACATACCGATGATCACTCTATCAAGTTCCGAACTAAAAAATACCATATAAATGTACTTTTTCAAGACCACATTTTCTTCACTAAGTGAAAGGTTATTTGCATTCCTAGCATTTTCACATCGTGTAAAAAGGCAGCTTATGAGCAGGGTAGTAATTTTGTTGCTGAAAAAGGTTTCTGATATAAGGACATAGTATTTCAGGTGAAAATAAGGCGATTCAAGACAACGGAAATCTCACGAACGGTTTATTTCATTGAGAAGATTTAATAAAATCTGCAGTTAACTTAATTCACAAGTAAAGGGACTGTAAATTAAGAGGTCAGAGAAAACATACAAAAATGAAAGTGCCCCCCCCCCAAAAAAAAAAAAAAAAAAAAAGAAAAAAAACTGGTCCCCCCATTGATGGGGTGTAACTAAATGCAANAACAAAAACTGCTTCCTCATAACACTCAATTGTCCTGAAAAGCTTATAAATGTTTAAAAAGGTGTGTTTTATCTCAGTTAATTCCTAGATCACAGACGCCAATTCTTCTGCACCAGCGGTGGTTTACGTCTCTGGACAACCTTCACTGTACTGCGAGCTGAACCTTTCAAATTGCTCAGCAAGCTATAAACCTCCAAGGCGGGGTTACAACCTTTAGAAATGGGAAAATTTTGGGTCCCCTCGTTTCAGTAGCCCGGAACGAATTGGTATCTCTTTCAACCCAACTTTTGTTAAAAAATTTTTTTCGGAAGAGAAATGTTGTTTTCTGCTTGGTGATTTATCAATTATATCTGTCTGAACCACGATTGTCAACGTTACAGGTACATCTCTTTATGCGCTGTCTGAAATACCTATTTCGACTTGAGGTAAAGCGGTTTTGTTATGTTGCATGGATGTAAAAGTTCATGTTCATGTTAATACTTGGTTTCGACGCGTATTCATCCAAGAGGCAAAAGCATTCTGCTTTGAAAAAAATAGTGAGACGACTAATAAAGGTCAATTTTACACTTCACCCTTCTTCGTCTTTAGGTCCTTAACGCATAAGTCGCATGCGAAAATGCTGATCGTGCCTGGGGAAATGTGTCTAAAATCAATCAAAAATTTGTAAAACGTCGCTCCCCATGCCCTGATCTTACAAATATCTTGAAATTTAATCGAGCGTTTTATGTTGACAAGCATTGTTTAACGTGGACACCATAATGTCAAAGAACAGTCGTAACCGTCTGATATACCGCAGCTAGCACCTCGACTTGTATTACAAATAGAGCCCTTCTTTTATGCACTGGAGGCCAGAGGTGAGAAGCGACGCTATCAAATCCCTTGATTATTTTCATCTGGTCAACTTTTGTTGAATCAAACGCCATGTAGAAACGTGGCAGAATTATAACTCATACACATTATACGGCAACCTTAAATAGGCCTACATTCCCACAGGTGCGACAGATTAAATCCAATTATTAGGGTTAAAACTCAATTGTTACACAGTCAACGCCATACGCCGGGGTGCGGCGAGATGATCGTAATGGTACATGTAGCAATCATGTAGCAATATTGGAGGCGGGATGGGGTTGGGGCGCACCCCCTTCTCATAAAAAGCCGAGGATCAATGGAGAGATAATTTATACAGGCATCAGAACTGATTTTGCATTTGGAATGTGAAAGACTGCAAGATTGATTTAGAGCAAAAGTAGCCCTCTTGTTAAAAACAACAGACTTTAAATCTGTGATACGTCAAAGTCCTTGAATAAATGCTAATTGTGGTGATGCTGAAATGAATGATAAAATCAATTTTGCATTCAGGACACGAGATAAATTGTCAGCATTTTCACCCATAGGGTCAAGTTTTAACAAAGGTAAAACAAACTAGATGTGCTTGCATAGAATAAATAATTTGACAACACTGATAGCTAACTAAAAAGCAATAGTTTTTATCTTCTTTTAATGCCGAGGCAAAACGGGACCAATTAACTAACGTGTTCTCAATATTAAATGTATGCAGTTGTATGTTATTATAGGGATGTTATTAGAACCAAAAGATCGTCTGAGCCATAAGTTCGCAAAGTGAGAAAAACTTGAAATAACAATGGATCCTCGTTTTAATCTGGTCCGATTTTCTTCTCCAGACGCTTCTCCAGACTGCCATGAATCACTTCTTTTTTTAACCAAAAAACAGTGCGTCAATCATTTTTCTCACTGGTTACTGTATTAGTTGATGTTTGGAGATCAGAAAGGGTCCCATTTTAAGATCGAACAAGTTGTAACGTCAAGCGAACAACAGATGTCGGAAAGATCCTGTCATTTTAACACATTGACAGTGGAGTAGTAACAATGATGTTAGGTTATGTATGTTGCCATATTCATGCACATACACGTGGCAAAATAATGAGATCAGTGCACGCGCTTGGCACATCTTCTTGTTCGAGTTTTCAGATTTTCAAAAGAAGCCAGCAGTAACATTGCTCTCTGTGATTGTCGCACCATTAGCCGTATCACAAACACCAGTATAAGCCAACACACAAGTATTTAAAGCATTAGCTATAGAAAAATATAGTTAAATGCCTTAATGTAATGGCAAAAAAATGACGATACTGAAAAGATGGAGTTAAAAAGAATCAACTAACGATAATGGTTGTGAGGCCTTAGACTCGAACGATTGAACTGTCTGTTGATTTCCATTGTGGAAAGCAGACATGTCACGTATTTGATTTCAAAATTGTTGATTTGATTGCCTACCTTTGAACTAGTCGAATTGTTTCCACTTCCAACGAAGCAAATACAAACAATTGGCTGGAGTAGACATTATTTACGTTTACATTTTAACGTGAAATTGTATCAGGTGTAATTCGAATCCTTAAAAACTGAGGCGGTGGACTGTGTGTGTATATATATACTTGTATATATTTGTGAGGTAGGTCGGGGACGGCAACCCCATTTCCTACATAATAGGGCAAAAAACAGGAGCAGAGAACCCGTTAAAGAACAAGCCATTCAACCCCTGACACGAGATTAAAAAGATTCCCTCGAGGACCTTGCTCATGTTTGGGCACAGATTCTGTCTCTTTATATGATAATTTATTTGATAAATGATCAATCACAATTACTGGTTGAAATGTAAAAGGTCGAGGCAGAGAGCAGTAATTCATGGGGCCCTTGATGACATGAATTATAAAATTACACATCAAAAGGTAATATCCGATTTCTCGATTAACTTTTTTGTTTACCTGAGCATGGGTTGGCAATTCGTTAGCATTCCGATGCATTATCGTTGGTGTCTAGGTAACACGTCCGCAAACTGCATTTAACCTGAATTCTGTTTTAAGTGCCCTTTACCTCAAGGGAGTAAATTTGGAGAAAAAAAGACAAAACACTTTACTGAATGCGCACATTGGTAGATATCGCATGACATTGTATAACAATGCGAGTATTTCCCTGGCGGATACGTAAAATCATCAAATGTAATTGTTATTCAAGTGGTCTCTATTGACTAATTCGAACTCCGTAAGTCGACTCTCAGTGATAATGGAAAACCGTCCATGACGCATCCATATAGAGCATATACTTCAAGTATAATGTCTGTTGTATTCAAAGACATACGTCATTTTAGTTCTCTTCTGTGCAACTTCGTTAAGGATTAAGGCCACTAAGTAGCAGTGTTGAGATCACCCGCGCCGCAAAGGAGGAATCAACAAATCCTTTCTCTACTGTAAAATTTACCTTTGCGCTCTAGCATACACAACCAGCCGCTCACACGCGCACGCATTCACGCCTAGTATTAGTTGACACACTGTCAATCGTTATTAGTCTTCTTCTCTCTCACCTTTGCACGTGCGTGCCTCTTTCCTTGCTGATACTACCCCAGCTGGATGGAAATTGGGTATTAACTAGAGGAATGCTCTCAGGCCGTCAATGCACTGCGCAGGTTACCTCTGCAGCTCTACAGTAACCTCATGGGTAGCAAGGAATACCGCTTCACCAAACCTAAAGGTGGGTTAATACTACAAAGACTATTCGGGCGAATGGGCCATGAATGAAGTTTTAACTTGTGTTAGCTCACTGTGCAACCTTATATACGGAGGGAACAAAGATGGCTTGTATGGTGCATAGATTGTCTCATGCGTCGGATCATTGCCGATCAGAATTGCTAATAAAGTGGTGTCAGTGCAATGTACACACCGCATGTTTGTGTATATTTATACGTTTTTGTGTTCGATGCAAACCTCGGTGCACCTTGCGGGTCCTAATGTATCTTATATTCACGATCGATTTCGATTAATCGATACCAATTCAATATAATTAAACGTCTGTTGTAATAACAAATAACAAGTTTGATTCACCTGCGTGCCACGAACAACGCCCTTGCCCTAATAAAGAAAACATTTGACCACCCTAGGGGTCCACAGATGTACTACGCGAAAGGGTTGGGGGATTTTCTCACTAAAGTGTTTCCAATTCAAAATGGATCGTACTTACGTCTCCCAAGACATAGCACACCTTTCCGATTCCGAGACATAAATTTCCTGCAGAAATAAAATGCATTTTGCTTAATACCTGCGACCTCACTCTGTTAAGTTTTCATCTTTTTCATCAAACGAAACATGGTCATTCGGTTGTTTGTGACGCTTTTTATTAAGCACTGCTTGTGCTTTAATGTATTTCTGCGGAGGAGCTTATCCCTGATGTACTATTACGCTACTTGGAAAAAAACCCTGCGTATACATAAACACATACACGTGCACGCAAAGTAGAGGAACAATAACGGGAATACAACTCACATTCAATATATATAGGGGAATATCATGCTGTATATTCTTATTTTCGTGTCTTGGCATCAGTTCACTGTCACTCAGTTGCCTTCATATGAGTGCGTTAGGTGAGAAAAGACAACAACACTGGTAGAATGTGATTGTGACTGAGACTGAGGCGAGGATTGGTGCGGGTGAACTCGCTGTGGGACGAAGTGCGGTACGTTCTCCAGGGATAAGGACAAGAGAAAAAGGGGGCATTGGGACATGTACACCCAGAAATAAGTGCATTGGGAGGAAAATTATTCCGATATTTGGTGTCCCCTTCAAACTTGGTTGATATCCGGCGTGTAACATATTGTGTCAGCTTTTTATGTTATTTAGCGTGGACTTTTCATGTGGTTAGCAAACAGAATAATTGAGAGAGAACTCAGTATCAGCTATGATCAGAGTTTTATGAAAGTTGCAGAAGAAAAAAGCACGTTTTTAGCTTAAAATTCAATTGAATATCTAAGTAATACATGTGCCATATTGTAATAACTTTCGACTTGAACAGTTGCAGATATGATTTCTACGGATGCAATTGTTTATATATCTTTTAAGAAAAAAATAGTACACTAGTACCTTTTAAAAGTTCTACATTTTTACATAAACATTATATTTCAATCTATGTTGAGTTCGCAGAATCTAATTTTCTTTGCTTGTTATAACGTCATATTTTTGTCACCATATGACTCTCTTATTGGATTCTAATTACGCTCCATTGTATTACCATTTTATGTAACTGGCTACAATTAGCGCTCTATTATATATCTTGAGTGGGCGATATATTAAAGGTGGGAAAAACATCAACCAATTACACATGTACTAATATCGGGATAATTAGTCTTCAAACCTTTTCATGCAAATCCATAAAAAGAGACAAAATCTGTATATCTTATTTGTATTGTAGCTGCTAAAATAGGCCTCTCGGCCACTCAAATTTTTCTTGAAAAAAACACATATTTGTAGCAATTTATCAGTGCCCATGGATTTCATTCTATTCTTCCCTTTCTTATTTGCATCGGAATAAAATCGTGGAAACTAAAAAATATGGAAAGACATGTTCGAGTAGACTGTTGTCAAGCAAGACGACTACGGCCTCAACAAGTTGACATATCACACGGCTCTCGTCTCTCCCGCATACTACACACGAGTTTAAAACAAGCAAGATATAGACTTGAATAAGTTCATCAAATAATTTTGAGTCTGTTAACACAACGCTAGAGGGTTGAAATCCTCTCAACTTGGACACTTGATCCACTTTGACTTTTCATCGTCATTTAAAGTCCTCTAGAGTCACTGTTGACTTTTGTCGCCAAATTTCGTCGTTGAACATTCAGACAGAATTATGTGCGGTGGCCATGATTGGTATAAGCAATTACGTCAAATTACGGGGGTGTGTATTTGGTTTGTGGTAGTACACGGAGTTTTATCTTGTCAATTATGATAATTTCCAAACAAAAAAATCATCGTCTTTAAAGCTGCTTAATCTTTCCTCGGGTCCAAGGTGATGGTACCTCAATCTATCTCAAGTGAGCACTTAAAATTTAAATGGAAAGTTAACATCATTGACGAGATTAGAGAGATTTCTGTACAAAACACACAAACTGACTCCTCGAAAGAATAGGGACTGATTTAAGAGAATATGCTTTGAATTTTTTAAGTGTGCTTGTGGCGCGTCAAAATTTGCTCTGTATTTCATAGTACTTATTTAGGGCCTACTCCCGCGCCAGGAGTGCGGCCTAGGTAAGGGGCGTGCAAATAAATGCTCCCGTCACCCTGCCTTGGTCAGTACGGAATGGGAATAACACCGTTTGCGTACGTGCACGTGTAGTGTATGTGTATGAGGTGTGAGACATGTAGAAAGCCACATTCAAATTCTAAGTTTTATTTGTGCAACGATTGCATCTTCATCAATTTTGTAAAAGTTAAAAGACCGTTTCATATCCTTATTATTTTTTTTTTACTGAAAATCATATGTCAACTTGGTAACATTATATCTGTACTAGATTTAAATTCAATATAATATTTATCATTTATAATTATTTGTTTAAAGTAAGCATGAAAAAAAAATTGATAAAAATATTTTAAAAGTGGAGCGGGAATATTTTTATAATTGTTTTAAGGTAGTGATCTATTTGTTGTGCACATAAAAAAGAGAGAAAGAATAAATATTAATAACATGTTTAATTGTGTGATGGTTATTGGAATTGAAGGAACAGATTAATCAGAAAAACACTTCTTGCTGATTGTCAGAACTCATGCTTTCTTAATTTTTTTTACCGAATAACTGAAATGAATTTTAAAAATCATATCATGATAAAAAAATATTGGGTATGGACTTTAAATTAAAGGAAAATGACAAAAGTAATGTAAACGTCTGTCAGACGCCCTTTTATGCCTATTCAGCGCTCACAATCGTTTAAATAAACATTGCCATAATGGGCATGGTAGGAAGTACATATAACAAATAATTCTAAAACGTGTTGTTTTTCATTATTCAGGCTAAAATAGATGACAAGTCCGGTGGCATGTATACCATTTCCCTCATTAGCCTCTCTGTCAGTTTTATGTTTTACAGCTATCGTTGAATAGTAAATATTCCAAATCTTCAAATAACATGCTCTACATGTCACTAATAAGTATTATAATTATATTGTTGACTCAACTGTTAGAAACGCAATGCGTAAGTCGCCTTCAAGTGGTTTATCTTTGGAGTCTGATCCGTCTATGAACAAACTACTTTCACCCCTCCCAGAGAGGCGACGACTGGGGACCAAGGACAGCAACATACGCTCCTACAGACTTCTGTTTTATTATCCACCATTGCCGTCATTCACGTGTTGACACGTCTGTCACGCTGAGGGCTGTCGTCAGTATCTTGTGGATGGAACTTGTTTGCAATGAAGCCCTGGTCAGACACACTGAGTTTCAGAGACTATAATTGGAAACTCGCCCACATAACTATTAAAACTGTGTCTTATTAGTTATTGAAACGGTGACGGAGAGTGCTTGCTTGGAAGGGGAGAAACCCCCCTCAGTTGTATAGGGCGTGGCCAGACAGTACTTTAGCCTATTTCACTCCAACAGGTGGCAGTGGATGTCTCATAAATGTCACTTGGTTATCTAAAGCTTAGTTTTCGTTTTGTAAAATTAAGGTTAATTCAAGACGATGAAACTTACACCAGCGTCGCACGCTCTGGTAAAAAATTTGTCCATTTTGGACAAGTTTAGTCTGGGGTATGTTTGCCACAACCTCACATTGTTACCTTTTTCTTGATATTAATGTTTCTAACATAATGTCACACAAGAACTAGAAAATGTGTAGCAATTTCTTTCGTATTATGATCTACATCGAGTCGGAAATTGTGCATTTTAAAACTCAATATTCTAGTTCTTTAGCTGCCTCTAACCCACAAAACAAATTTAGAGAAGACCATTTACCAAACAAACACACACACCCACAAAAAGAAGAAAAATATATGTATAAAATTAACAATAATAATCGTTTTGAATTAAAGGTACTCTACACAAGATTAACCCCCCAAAATGAATTTCCCTCTGGAAACAGCATTTTTTTCCTAAACACTAATCATTGCTAAATCCATCCCTGCACATGGATTCAATGGTTTATTCCATTTTAATTTAACAATTTAGCCACGTTTTCCCGTACGTTTCGTCAGGTACTTTTATGAAGAGTTTTATCGTTTTCAAGGTCTGGATTCGGAAAGATAAGTAGACATAAGAAATGTGACTGTGAGACATTTTCAAACGCTTATAGTATACTAAGTTCCAATATCCTCAAAATTGATAATTGCACCTTTCTTTAAACACATTTTGATGACATCGGCAGACGGTTAACTTACACAGGGTATTGCAAAACATTACCAGCTCTAAGAAGTTCAGTGCTCGCTAGGCAAATGCTCATCATCAATAAAACTTGTCAAAGAACAGATTCGTCATAATTTTGTCATTTATCTTCATGACTAGGAAACAGACGTCAGCAAAGAATTAAGGACTTGCTCGCGAAATGTAATATGGGGAAATTCTCCTCGATCTGTTACTGGGATTAACAGTACTTTAGACTGTCTATTTCACTATATATAAAGAAAAGCTTTAAGTACACACCTGAGCCT